TTACTGTGCAGTCAAATATCTCTACTAATAATCATCTGTATTTGCAGCTGCTCCCCAGCGCTGGCATCACTGCCTCAGCTCCACCTCAGAGCATCAGGCATTGATTCTCATAAGGAGCACAGCCTAGGTCCCTGGCATGCACAGCTTCCAGCAGGGTTCCTGCTCCTGTGAGAATCTGATGCCTGCGCTGATCTGACAGGGGGCGGAGCTTATGTGGTGATGCCAGCGATGGGGACCAGCTGTGAATACAGATGAAGCTTCGCTCACCTGTCTGCCGCTCACCTGCTGCTCACCTCCTGCTGTACAGCCCAGTTCCTAACAGGCCACAAACCACAACTGGTACCAGTCCGCCACCCTGGGGTTGGGGACCACAGGAGTCTTTTGGGTGTAAGGATATTGGGTTTCTTCCTTCTCCCATTGATCACTCCCGTAGATAACTGTATGGCCTGAGGAAGATCACTTAGCCCTCTTCGTATTTCTGTTGTCTCTTTGGTTTATGGGATGGGCATTGTAGCCATCCTAGACAAGAAATGAGAAGGGAATTGGGCGAGTACTCAGCGTTTTGAAAATGCACAGTGACCCTTTTTACATTTCCTCCCCTAGCTCAGACTAATCAGATGGGAAGGTTTAGAGTATGAATCCCCTCGGGCAAGCATGCATGCATGCATGCATTCAGCCAATAAATATTTAATGAGCACCTGCTGTGTACCAGGCGCCAACCTAGTTATCAGGGATACAGTGGTGATGCCTGATATATTGCAAAGCTTGTATGTTATCTCTAGAGCAGTGGGGGGGCCACTGAAGAAATCTGCGACCTGAGACTCCTCACAGCCAGCATGCCTCTCCAGCCCCCAAGGGAGTGGCAGAGGGGGAGAGAGAGATCTGAGAATTTCCCCATCTTGCAGTACATAAAAGTGCTGGTTCAACCACATCTGCACACACACTGGGTATTATTATCATTATTATCTTTTCATTCTTTGGCCCTTTGTGAGGAAAATATGTGTGAAAGTACAGAGCAAAGGCCCCCTTCTCGAAAAGCTCACGTTCCAGCAGGGAAACCGGCAAATCATGATGGTGATGAGATGAGAGGAGTGTTCCGTGGCAGGCATGCTGGTGTTTAGTTTTCTCTGGGTGTTCAGGGAGAGCACCCTGGAAGGTGCAGCAGTTAAGCTTCCATTTGAAGGGCTTGCGGGTATTAGCCAGGGGAAGGGGGCATGGAAAAGAGTGCTTCTGGTGGAGGGAACAGCAGGTGCAAAGGCCTAGAGGCAGGAGAGAGACTGAAAGAAAAGTCACAGTCACCTTGGTTCTAACTCTACCTGCTATTTTTTGAGGCAGCATTTTCAAGGTTTATGATCCATAACCGTGCTGATTTTTGGATGGAAACTGGGTGGAGCTGAAGTGAACAGTGTCTTGATGTCTTCAGATTTGACACCAAAATGTATAACCCTGATACTGAGCGAGTCCAGAGCATGTCAGTTCTGGATCATCCAATATTCTAGGTGATAGAAGATTTCTTTGGGGTAAGATTACAATGATGTTGCTACTATTTAGTGAGAATTTCCTGGTGCCAGGCTCTGTGCTGTTGCTATACAGGCAAGCCGTCATTTAATCCTTCCAGTAACCCAGCTGAGTTCTGTCATTCTTTGCATTTTACAGCTGAGGGTACTGAGCTCAGAGAGGGGTGTCACTTGCCCAGGGACACACAGCAATGCAGAGAGTGGCAGATCTGACCTCCTACCCAGATCCTGTGTCCTTTACTTCCTGTTGTATGATAGCAAGAGCCAAGCCAGCTGGATGTAGCTCAACCTGTGTCTTCCTGCTGTGTGGCATCCAACAAGTCACTTACCCTCTCTGGACCTAAGATCCCTTAGGAGGTTAGAATGAGGTCTTTTTCAACCCTGAAATTTTGGAAATTCTGTTCGTTTCTAGACTGTATGAGTTTTCGAGGAATTAGCAACTACTACATGATAACTCAAACAAACAAATCAAAAGACAGTCAGCAGGGATGTTGTACTGAGGGCATCACGTATTATTTTGCAGAGCCAGATTCCAGGGAGCATTTCTGGGCATCTCAGGCCAGCATTATCAACATGAGTCATCAGAGCAGGAAAGCCTGTTCACATAGCCTTTCAGTACACACTGCAGCTAAACAGAATATTGTTGCCTCAAGCACAGAAGGGCAGACATCATCTGAGCCTCTAAGGGAATTCGTGTCTCAAATGGAAGATGTGGTGGAAGCAGAGAGCATCAGCCAGATCTCAGCAGCCTTCTAATTATTATTCCCGTTACTCTCGTAAAGGCTCCATCATGACCATGTATTAAGCGGGTGCATGCTGAGCACCATGTTAAATGCCCTAGGAGATGCATCATTATTATTCCCATTTCACAGATGGGGCAGCTGAGGCTCTGAGCAGTAACTGGATGACAGGTGGGGATTGCACCCAGTCTGTCGATCGAGCGCCCTCTGCTGGTCCCTATCCAAACCTTCATGTCCTTTCCTCTCTTGCTAGTAAATACTATGAGAAGGAAGCTCTCTTGATGGACCCCGTGGACGGCCCAATCCTGGCGTCTTTGTTGGGTAAGTGGTCCGGTGCTTGGAGCGTCATCTGGACCTCTGCTCTTGAGTCTCAGGGGCACTTCCTCAGGGCCTTTCTCACCCCCATCCAGCCTGGCCTTTCCAAGCTTGGCTGTTTGCTGTCTCTTGCCCCTAGGGCCTTGTCCTTTGCAGGACCTGGGGCGTCCTAGCTGGCTGGAGGGAAGGGGCAGTGAAATTTG